TCATGGAATAAATTATCTAGGCCCTTATTATTTTTTTCCTCTTCTGGAATACCAATTATCTGGATGTTGGGGCACTTGATGGTATTTAGTATTCCTTGTATATTATCCTCATTTTTCATGGTTGTTTTCTCAGTCTTCTTGATACTTTTTTCTAGGTCAGGTGTTTTGTCTTCTACGTTAGAGATTCGATCTTCTGCCTGGTGTAACCTACTTTTAATACTTTCAAGGGAGGTTTTGTTTTCCTGTGCCACATTCTTCAATCCTAGAAGTTCCATCTGGTTCTTGTTGAAGGTATCCATTCCTTCTTTCAAGTCATGAAGGATTACCTCATCTCCTGGAGCTACCTGTCTCTTTTCTCTTCCATCTCAGTTAGTTTGGTCACTACAAATATTCTGAATTCCTTATCAGACATGTCCACAACGTCCATTGTATTGACTGTGGGTGATGTAGGCTTGATAATTTCCCTTGAGTGAGAGGTCTTTTGTTGGTTGCTCATATTTCTTGAGCCTCTGCAATTGTTCGTAGTCATCTGTTAATCTATATATTGCTTCCTAACTTATTTAAGGTATCTCTGAGTGTTAAAAGTTGTACAGGATTAGAAAATTGATTATTTCTCTTATGGTTGGCCTACCTGTTGCTCACAATTTCCATTAACTGTTGCCACTAGTCCTGGATAGCCCAAAGTCCTCCCTGTTTCTAAAGAGTGGTGAGCCTCCAACTGACCTAAGAAGCAATACCTCAAGAGCAAAGAAAAACAAAATGAAAAAAGTAAATCGTGTGGTGCACATTGTGTGCCGCATGCTATTCAAATCACCAAAATTCAAAGTGTCCAAAGGCTAGTGGGAAAGGGTCAGAGGATGAGTGACAGGACCAGGTTGGTAGGGCCTGCAGCCTCAGTCCACCTGGTGTCCGGAACTTCTGGCCAGCTCGGTCCAGATTATGGGTGGGGTGGGGTAGGAGTTCACCTTAAAGTCCCAGACAAGCAACCTGGGGTCCAAGGAGGAGGAGAGGTGGGGATGCATGAAGATTCAGAAGGGTCGGGCCTGCAGCCTCCGTCTGCCTGGTGTCCAGAACTGCTGGCCAGCTCGTTCAGAAATTAACTTTTTATGTATCTAATCTGACATTTAGGAACAACAAAAAAAAAATGATTTGTGTTAAAGGAAGAAAAATCTTGGTGTGACACAGGGGGAAATAAGTGACAAATATCTTCTTTGGAAAAACAACAGTTATTTTGTTCTTGATTGGAAAAATTCCATAATTCCATAATGGTTCTGAAACTTGACTTCTTCTTGTTACATCTTTCTAAACCTAGTGATATATTTGATTTATCAGTGTATTTACATACAGTGGTTCTTTTAAAATTTTGCAGAAATCCCAGTGCATTTAATTAAGCAAGAATTAATCTTGGACAGGCTCCAATTACAGGACACAATGTTATATGTGATTAGAAAGGATAAAAAGTTCAGTGCTCTTTTTTCCTAGTAGGAACAATACTATTCTCTTACCAACTCATACAGCTGTTTTTAGAAAAGAAATGAGGATTTGAAAAATGTCTTCTTCAAATCTGAATAAAATGAGGTTGGCCATGCTAAGACAACACAAATAGGAAAAAAGCCTGAATGGTAGTTTGTTTTAGTTTTTAATTTACTAGAAAAAAAATTGGTTACTGGAGAAAAATATTCCTAGTACACAGCTACTTGCTCTTTTCCTATGTATTCATGATTTGTTTTCCTTTTTGATGAATTGCCTTTACCTGGAAATTCTGTTTTTCATTTGTGTCATAGAATTTCTTTTAAATATATCTACAATGCAAGTAATAACAGTTTTCTCAAATAGGGGACACTGTGAAGAAAACGTACATGTACAGTCATATGAAGTCAACTGTGTCCTTTAGAAATAATGTAACATTTTGCCCACTGTGCTCAGACCAAATGAAACAGGCATTTCCAGCTCCTTCTGAAATGGCTAAGAAGTTACCCTTTAGACTGTTAGCAAGAGTCCAATAAGTAAAATAGGAACAGTTAATAGTGGAAACCAGGCTTTTTAGTGTGTTTCTTTACTGCAGAGGAAATTTTATTGTTAGAATGTATAGGAAGTGAAAGCTGAAAAAGTTTTTTCCAGCATCATAAGGGCTTTGAAATCGATCAAAGTAAGTTTCTTTCTGCATTTTGGTCACTAAAAAATGTATGGTCTTTGGGAATTAAATAAATATTCCCAGCTTCTTTCTTCATATATAAATTGGGATAACTATACTCATTGCTATAAAAATTCATTATTGTACATTAGAAGTCTTTATCTTATGTTTATGTCTAAATGTGTACATATGTGGATAAAGCATGTAAAATGGACATAGTAGCTGACACAGTTTCGTATGACATATGGTAGGTATTCTTCTAATCATAGTGTTTTCTTTCATTAAAATTTCTTTTGTCTATTCCAATGGAACTAATAAGATAAAAAATCTTTTTATACCTTGTTCTGCAATCCAAAAATATATAAACTGTTGATATTTCCTAATATGCATAAATTAAAATGTTAGCTACTTTTTTCATTTTATTTCAACCAAAGCATAAATACTTTCATATAGTTTAGCTCATTAAACAGTTAAACAATATAGTTACACAAAAGTTTAGGATTTATAAAATTTAATTTTTTTCAGGTATGATTCTGTATGGTTAGCATTGATTTAAGATTCAATACAGGTTTTTAAAAAATTTAATTTCTTCATTTAAAAATATGTTTTATTATAAGATTATCTCTTATTATATCATCTATCTAATGTATCTTCTATCCATCTGAATTATTAACTATAGTGTTGTAGATACATTGAGAAAAACAAAACTGTTTCTCTGTGTATATAAAATATATAGCTTATTGTGACCAGCAGTTGGCATAATGGCTATGTCACTGGACTCCCATGTAGTCAACTATAGTTTGAGTCTGGTGGCTTAAACTCACACTGGGCGAGTGTGCATGCATGCCCAACATCCTGAGAGGAGAATGGAGAAGGGATTGTGAAGTGACCATCCCCCTTGGGGGGTGATTTCTTGCTTTCTGTCTCTCTGTCTCTCTCTGTCTTTCTGGTAAGCTCACACACTCTATAACAAACATTTCCCCCCCCAAAAATACACACACACACACACACACACACACACACACACATATATGGTTTATTTAAAGACCCAGTAAATAAAACATTTTAAAATTTGTTGATCTATTCTTCTTTGCAGTAGAGACAGAGTGATTGTGAGAGTGAGAGAGAGAGAGAGAGATGGATATACACTCTACAGAGTCATCATGCCACACTCCATCTCTAGTCTAGGCCAGTCTGGATCACATGTGTGCCTGCCTGGCAGAGAGATCTTGTGATGTGAACCCCAGAGTTTTCCATGTGGGTCAGCCTCCTAAAAGTTTGTGTTACTTTTGCATTACTCTCCGGTTCTGGTTTTGTTTTTCATAGCATATATATTTCAGCACTGTAAAATCTATTTAAATAATCTGAATGCATCATGATCACATCATTAATGAACTATTCTGTAATTATTGGATCTATCTCAGGTATGCATCACTGAGGGTAAAAACTATTTTTTTCAACTTGGCAATTCTAAAGTCCCTGAAAAATGACATAAGTAGATTCTATACAAATTTTTTATTTGAATAAATAAGACGTTAAGGGTATAATACTTTTAAAAAATATACCTTAAGAAAAGTTAAAATATGTCCCCCTGCTTTATAGATAAAGTATTTCCAGGATCAAAAGTCAGCACCTATAGACTGTAGATGGAACCAAGGAACAATGTGACTTTCTTTGTCTTCACGGGACTCACACAGAACCCAGAGGAACAGAAAGTGCTTTTTGTGATGTTCCTACTCTTCTACATTTTCACCATGGTAGGCAACCTGCTCATTGTTGTGACTGTTACTGTCAGTAAGACCTTGAACTCACCGATGTATTTCTTTCTTGCTTGTTTATCCTTTATGGATGTCATTTATTCCTCATCCATATCCCCCAAATTGATTTCGGACTTGTTCTTTGGAGAAAATATCATATCTTTTCAATCCTGTATGACTCAGCTTTTTATAGAGCACTTTTTTGGTGGGTCAGAGATCTTTCTTCTGGTGGTGATGGCCTATGACCGCTATGTGGCCATCTGTAAACCCTTGCATTATTTGGTTATCATGAAGCAACGAGTGTGTGTTGCTTTGCTGGTGGTATCCATGGTTGGAGGATTTTTGCACTCAGTCATTCAGCTTAGCACTATTTATGGGCTCCCATTCTGTGGCCCCAATGTCATTGATCACTTTTTCTGTGACATGTATCCCTTATTGGAACTTGTCTGTATGGATACCTATGTCATTGGCCTCTTAGTTGTGGCCAATGGAGGACTGATTTGTATAATCGTATTTCTGGTTTTAGTCATCTCATATGGTGTTATCTTGTACTCTCTAAAGAACCTTAGTCAGGAAGGGAAGCGAAAAGCTCTTTCGACCTGTGGTTCCCACATCACTGTAGTTGTCTTCTTTTTTGTTCCCTGCAGTTTTATGTATGCAAGACCTGCTAAGACTTTTCCCATTGACAAATCATTAAGTGTATTTTATACAGTCATAACCCCGATGCTGAATCCCTTAATCTATACACTGAGAAATTCAGAGATGAAAAATACTATGAAGAAGGTATGGAGAAGAAAAATATCAAGAAGTGATTAGTGACTCACTCACAGTGATGACAGTCATTATATATATTAGGGTCTTTCTTCTGGGAACCTGGAAGTTTTCTGAATCTGATGTCTTCATTATTTTGCAAGCATTTCTTATGTCTGTGTGTATCATTCTAAAATTATATTATGCAGTTTTACTAATTAACTTTTAAATTTAGTATTATTGTTCTAGTTATTCCTAATCATCGTTTATAAATAGAAAATAAAATTAGGAATAAAAGAATGAAGTAAAATTTATAATTGTACTGTTAATAAAAAATTCCCTTCTTGCTGGAATATACACTGTATGACTTCTTGTTTTATACTTCATGCTCATTGATGTAATGCAAAGAACAAGAACATGTAACATTCAATATGTAAATAATTAGTGAAGGGGACCAGCAGTTAGTGTAATGGCTATCTTACTGGACTCCCATGTAGTCAACCACTGTTTGAGTCCTGAACCTGGTGACTTAAACTCACGCCAGGCACATGTGGATGCGTGCCCAGGATCCCGAGAGGAAAATGGAGGAGAAGGGATTGCAGTGTGGCCATCCCCCCTGGGGGGGGGGGTTGATTTCTTGCTTTCCATTTCTCTGTCTCTCTCTGTCTTTCTGGTGAGTGCACGTGCCCTATAGCGAAAAATCCTCTCCAAAAAAAAAATAGTGAAGAAATTTTATAATTATTCTTATTTTTAATCAACTTATGCATTTATCTTTGTGTTTTCTGAAACTTGATTTCATTCTTAGTTTGATTCCTTTTTTCTTTAAGAATTAATTTTAATTATATGTTTATGTGTGTGTGTGTATAAATATATATATATATTTCAGTTAACTATGCTTTTACCAGAGAGAGAGAGAGAGAGAGAAAGAGAGAAAGAGAGAGAGAGAGAAAACAAGTCACCAGGTCTGGGACTCAAACCATGGTAGGCCATGTGTGATTTTTGTACCTTAACCACCATGCAGTCCTCATTAGTTTGATGCCTAAGTTTGCTTTTTTTTTAATAATAGTATTTAAAATGTTTAATGCTGTCAATTGTTATTTTAATTTACTTGCATCATATAAAATAATGTTTGTGTAATACTTCAACTTTTTAAAATAAGAAAACAAAATGCATAATAACAAATCATAAAAGTGAAAAACATACAAAAAGATTTTAAAAATAGCTCCATCTCTGAGTATAGTCTTTCAGTGTTCTTCCCCTGAGACAGCTGTATATATAATCTGTTTAAGATTCTTCAGGTAGTGGAACCAGCAGTTAGCATAATGGCTATGTCGCTGGACTCCCATGTAGACGACTGGGGTTAGCGTCCCGGATTCAGTGGCTTAAACTCACACCAGATGCATGTGCGTGCATGTCCAAAATCCCGAGAGGAGAGTGGAGGAGAAGGGATTGCGGCATTGCCATCCCCCCTGGGGGGTGATTTCTCGCTTTCTGTCTCTCTGTTTCTCTCTGTCTGTCTGGCGAGCGCACGCACCCTATAGCAAAAACCTCTTCAAAATAAATAAATAAATAAATAAATAAATAAAATAAAAAGAAAGATTCTTCAGTTAGTTGTCTTTGTACATTCTAGTATTTTGATTGTAGTAACTACACTTCTCTCCATGGTTTGTAAAAATGCCTGTTAGTTCATGTTCTCAACTGACAGTACTTTATAAATATTTATGATATGTGATATTTGGTTAAGGCTATTTCATTCATTTTTATATCTTTTTGTTTATATTTAACCATTGTATGTTTTTACAACATACAGTTTTTGTTCTCAAATTGAAACCTTTCAGAGACAAGGAATTTTGAGTATCCTTCATATGTTTAAATGCAATTTTTTATTTATCTGAATTTACTAATAGTGTCTTCTATTTTATCCAATTGTTGATCTTTTCCTTACTGTATAATGAGTTAATATATGTTAAAGCAATGATTCCACTTACTTTACTGTATGGAATTACTATTTTATTCTGCCTTGTGATTAATTTACTTCATTTTTGTACCATTCAGAGCATTTTCCAAATTAATCAAATCATCTAATGTATATTTAATGTATAAAACATGACCTTATGTGATTCATACAGATTGTACAATAAAGTAGTTGCTATAGTATAGCAGATTTATATCATCTCACATAATTACTTTTTCTTTTTAGATTCAAGACCAATTAAGAACTTAAACATTTTAATTTATCTAAAGTCCAGTTTATTTTTTTTTCTTTTTGCCTTTTCTTTGGTGTCATATCTAAGAAACCAATGTCATAAAGCTTTTCTTCTGTATTTTCTTGTAAGAGTTTTATAGCTTTAGCTAGGCTCTGAATCCATTTGAATTAATTATCTAATAAAGTATAATTTAATGATTTATCTTTATCATTTTGCATGTGGATATCCAAGTTTTTGCAATACTAGTTTAAAACAGATTGTCCTTTCCCCACTGAATAGTCTTGACACTCTTGTTGAAAATCATTTGACCATATATGTGAGGGTTTATTTCTAGACTATTTTATTACACTAACTCATGTATCTTATTTATGCCAGTAACACACAATCTAGTCTGTGAGAATATCTGTTGGTTCACATTTTCACCAGCAAGTGTTAGATACATATTTGTGATACATGATAATGTGATTAAAGCTAGTTTTAATGTGAAACAACAGGTGTTCTCACTGTTTTGATTACTATAGTTTTGTAGTAAGCTTTGAAATTGAGATGTATGAGATTTCAGTTTTTTTTTTTTTTTTTTTTTTGTGTGTGTGTGTGTGTGTGTGTGTGTGTGTGTTTAGATTTATAGGGCAAATGTCCTCACTAGAGACAGAGAGGGAAAGTGAGAAATCATCCCCCATGGGATTGGTCACACTGCAATTCCTTCTCCTCTCAGGATTTTAGGCACACATGCACACATGCCTGGTGTTATTTTCAAGCAACTGTGTTCAGTGCTCGAACTGCAGTTAGCCAGGTGGGAGTCCAGTGCCTTAATCACCATGGCATCTGCTGGCCCCCAAATTATTTTTTTCAGAAGCACAGTAAATAGATATAAATTCCAGATACAGTGTGTGTGAAAAGAATAGGGTCTGAGGAAGGACATTTGGAAGAAAAATAGGCAAAGCCTTAATGAGACAAAGAAATGTGTTATCTGTTGAAGATATTTTATAGTTTTATCAACTAGACTAGCGAGAAGCATTCACATGGAGAAATATTTACTTTGTAAGCTAAATAATGTGATTGAATGTATAAAAGGAAATAAAATAAAAAATGAATAAAAAAGAACTGTTTTGTCTGTTTATGGTTTCTTAATAGTTTGTATATTTTAGGATGGATTTTTGTATTTTTGACAACATTGTTGGGATTTTGATAGGAATTGCATTTACTCTAGATAATTTCAGGTAGCACAGACATCTTAACAATGTTGTATTTTAATTAATGAGTCAGAAATGTCTTTCTATATATTGGTGACTTTTTATTTAGAGTATGACTGTTTTGCCTATTGTTTAAATTATTAAATCATCAATAAAGTCATGATGTATTTATTTTATGTTTTTCTATGCAAAAATGCATCATGACTTTTCCGACGGTCCAAACTTCAGTATTTTATTCTTTTTGATGCCACTATAAATAGAATTGTTTTTTTTTTCTTCTTTTACTTTCAAAAACATAATAATTGTGCAAATTTGTGGGGTACAATGTGATTTTTCAGTATAAGATTATAATGTGTAACGATTATATCAAGGTAATTGGTATATATTTCCTCTCAACCATTTGTTATTATTTTCTGTTGAAAGCACCCACTATCCTTTTCTTTTTCGTTATTCTGAGATATAAAGTAAATTCTTAATAATTGTATTCAATCTGCTGTATTTAATAACACTAGAAGTTGTTCTTCTTACCTATCTGCAAATTTGTTGCCATAAATCACCATCCCTGTTTCTTTCCTCCTGTTTGTCTTGCCTCTAGTAGTCATTCTTCAGATCTCTACTGGAGCTCTTTTTGCTTTCTTATTTTTTAAAATTTGTTTGAAGGCACAAACAAATTTGCTGGAGACAAACCAATAGATAGAGAGAGTGGGAGAAGGATCAGCAGTTGGCGTAATGGCTACGTTGCTGGATTCCCATGTAGTCGACCGCGGTTCAAGTCCTGGACCTGGTGGCTTCAACTCAGGCTGGTCCCGTGTGCATGCATGCCCAAGATCCAGAGAGGACAATGGAGGAGAAGGGTTTGTGGCATGGCCATCCCCCTGGGGGGTGATTTCTCGATTTCTGTCTCTCTGTCTCTCTCTGTTTCTGGTGAGTGCAACATACCCTATAGCAAAAACCTCTCCACAAAAAAGAGACAGTGAGAGAAGAGTGAGAGAAAGAGAGAAAGTGAGGATGCACTCCCCCCACGGGTGCTAATTATCTTACAGTTTCTTCTCTCCCATTTCTTCTTTTGAGATTTTAGTCACACTTGTATGTGTGCCAAGCATGTATTTAAAGTTGTCAAGTCAATGACTGAACCATGTAGTTGGTCATGTAGAATCAAGTTTTCTTAACCATCACCAACTAGCCCAATGAGCCCATTTTTCTGTTTCAATTTATGAGTAAGAACATTTAATAGTTCTCTTTTTTTTTTGTTTGTTTTGAGAGATTTTTGCTACAGGGCACGTGCGCTCGCCAGACAGACAGAGAGAGACAGAGAGATAGAAAGCAAGAAATCACCCCCCAGGGGGAATGGTCACGCCACAATCCCTTCTCCTCCATTCTCCTCTCGGGATCTTGGGCATGCACGCAAATGTGCCCGGCGTGAGTTTTAAGCCACCGGGTCCGGGACACGAACCGTGGTCAACTACATGGGAGTCCAGCGACATAGCCATTACGCTAACTGCTGGTTTCCAGTTCTCTTTTTTTTAACGCCTGTCTTATTTCACATATTATGTATCCTTCAGTCTCTTCCATATTGCCTGAAATTACAGGATTTCATCATTTTTATTTACTGAATAGTATTATGCTGTGATACATATCTACAGTATATCATTTACATAAATATTAT